TCATAATAACAGGGCCAGATCAAAGCACACAACACATGAAAGGGTAATTCGAACATCGTGAACAAAACAAAAGGAGAGACAATATTTGGATTGTTAAGTAGTTGATAGAGTTTGATCGCTATGTATATTTATGCCACACTACTAAACATCACTTTTCTGCAACTCCATTTTAGTAAGATGGCCCCCTTACCCAAATATATACTTGAGGCTCAATCTGTTTATGAGAGTTTAGTGTATTCAAACTCGAGATCAAAGACATTGCTGCTCTCTTGTGCGGCGTAGCCCGTCAGAATCTCTGGCCCCTTTCAGTACTGCACATTCCAACACATTTTATTAGTGTCTCGTATATACACTGTGTTCTTAATCTAAATTATATAATAGCTGTTGTAGATTAAATATGTGTGCAGACATGTCAACGAAGGTTGAATTACTAAAGGTATTACATTAAAAACAAAAAGGGTTTTGATTACTTTCTCTGGAGCTAAATAATATGGGTGCTACGTTTCTAACGAAAATTATACAATATGGAAACGTTGCAACAATTTAGACTGTAAGCTCTCATGAACAGGACTTTTATTGTATCTATTCATATGATCAGAATTGTTCAATACAACGATCATTCACTAAAATATAAATTGTTGGGAATTCAAAGTGAATTTTATATTTTTTATTTTTAAGTCTAAAATGTGTAGTTCCTCATCAATTTCAATTTCCCAGAATATCCAACTTCTGCTTTATGCATTTCTCATATAGTGTTTCTCATATAACGGTCTATTCATGAGCCTACATTGTCTAGCACCGGAAAGCTTGCTGGAGCTATATAAAAATAAATTATAATAAAATATAGTATAAAAATTAAAAAATAATAATAACTCATGTTTTTGGGTGCAAATATAGGGATTTAGTATAAAAAAACAACAACTAATAACTAGAGAGATGTCAAAAACTGGCTATGTCATTATTTCCGTTGCTATTTCATTGCAAGACATGCTGAAGTTAAGTCAGAGTTATTAAATAAAATGAGCATTTAAATATCAATTTCAAATTCAAGGGCAAAGTTGTTGACTTAGAGAATGTTTCTAGTTTGGCTATTTTGAACCTACGTTTGAAATTCTCTTTGAATTAATTTAGCATTTTCACTTTACTGAATAACTGTGTGTGAAGGTGTTTTAGGCAAATTGAAATTAATTCCTAACCAAATCAAATCTGGTCCAAGCCTACTTCATACTTCCCAACTAGCTCAGATCTGGCAGGACACTTTTGATTAAGGATCTTGGCCCCATAGGCACAAGATTTTCCCTGTCTCACTTGTTGGAGATTGAAAAAAGTTTCTAAAATCAAGTGTGTTCATATTTTTGCCCGTATAGGTCTGATTCTACAGTGCTGCTCTTTGCACGAGCAAGCCTGGTTGGCTGTGTCTGGTCTTTCTTGGTTAGCAGGGATCTCATGAACCGGGCCCTTTATTTATTTAAAGGGGACAAAGTCTTAGGAGCCCCCATAATTCTTTTTGTTTTTTTGCTAATCCCAATGTAAGCCAAAATACCTCAATTGCAAATGCAGTTTGATTTCTGGATTTGTATCCTATATTTTGCATTTTGGCTTTCAATTCACTACAGTTTAAAGGGACACTATAACCACCAGAATAACAACAGCTTAATGTAGTTGTTTTGGTGAGTATAATCATTCCCTTCAGGCATTTTCATGCAAACACTGCCTTTTCACTCCTTGCCGATTTCAGTCAAATGCATTGGCTAAAAATCGTAAATTCTAATGATGTCACCAACGAGGCGGATAGGGGGCGGGGCCAGCACCGGCAGACCCACTGGGAGCTGGAAATAAGGTACGTTTTAACCCCTTCTACTGGGGTTAAGGGGGGGGGAAAGCCACCTACATAGTGGGTTTAACACTATAGGGTCAGGAATACATGTTTGTGTTCCTGACCCTATAGTGATCCTTTAATGTTTAGAGAAGTAACTGGGTTTTTGAAAATTTATTTTTATAGGTAGAAGAGGTAGCATGCTCCCTGCTACATGTTCCTCTTTGATCTCCGAATGACGCACCGTTTATCAGCAAGTTTTTGTCCCATAGACTGTTTTATACAATTCCTGTTGCTGGTTTGAATAACATGTGTTTCCGTGACTCCCATATGGAAGACAGCATGTGAGTGATAATATCCTTTTAATATGGGCTTAAATTGTAAGTGTGATGCATGCTTTTAAGTGGCATACTAAGTGTATCCAAACTTCACAAAACTATTTACTGGCATAGCTAACAAACTGTTTAAAGGACCACTATAGTGCCAGGAAAACATACTCGTTTTCCTGGCACTATAGTGCCCTGAGGGTGCTCCCACCCTCAGGGACCCCCTCCCACCGGGCTCTGGGGAGAGGAAGGGGTTAAACTTACCTCTTTCTCCAGCGCCGGGCGGGGAGTTCTCCTCCTCATCTCCTCCCTCTTCTCCTCCTCTTCGGCTGAATGTGCATGCGCGGCAGGAGCCGCACGTACATTCATCCAGTCCATAGGAAAGCATTCACAATGCTTTCCTATTGACGCTGGCGTCTTCTCACTGTGATTTTCACAGTGAGAAGCACGCAAGCGCCTCTAGCGGTTGTCAAGAGACAGCCACTGGAGGCTGGATTAACCCTAACATAAACATAGCAGTTTCTCTGAAACTGCTATGTTTATTAAAAAAAGGGTTAACCCTAGCTGGACCTGGCACCCAGACCACTTCATTAAGCTGAAGTGGTCTGGGTGCCCATAGTGGTCCTTTAAGATTATTTATCATTTTGTTCAGGCTCATATATTCTAAATAGATACCAAAAAGTTGGAGTGCGCTAGCAACTGCACTGGAGTCAGGATCTTCTCTGAGTACTCTGAAAAAATATACAGTATATAGTGCAGACTATCTGTATATACAGGGTATGCAAAATTAAAAGTATATCTGGGGATCAACTCACATGGACCAGAGCACACGTGTGACATCAGAGAGAGGCGGTCCCAGCGGTCACGTGACCGGAACCAGGAAGTGTCTAAGCTGTATCATTTTCTGTGTGTAAATTCCTGCTTATCTAGTTGTGGGTTTATTGCTGGCAAACTCACTACTTCAAGTAAGAGTTTTTAACCTTTTGTTTAAATAAATACTGTGTTTGATACTATTCAATTTGGGCTCCTGCCTCTCTATTTGTTTATCCTGCCTAGATATTACATCTGATTCAGAAGAATATCCTGTATTGCTATACTGTGGGTTTATCCCTCTCCATTGGAGCAATTCAAACCCAGAGCCAGGGGTGAAAGGGCTCTGGTCCATGTGAGTTGATCTCCAGGTATACTTTTAATTTTGCATACCCTGTATATACAGATAGTCTGCACTATATAGTGTATATTTTTTCAGAGTACTCAGAGAAGATCCTGACTCCAGTGCAGTTGCTAGCGCACTACAACTTTCTGGTATCTATTGCTAATTTGTGTCACTTGGGGGTAGTGCAGCAGCACTGCAGATATTCTTAAAGGACCACTCTAGGCACCCAGACCACTTCAGCTTAATGAAGTGGTCTGGGTGCCAGGTCCTTCTAGGGTTAACCCATTTTTTTTATAAACATAGCAGTTTCAGAGAAACTGCTATGTTTATGAATAGGTTAAGCCTTCCCCAAAAGCCTCTAGTGGCTGTCTCATTGACAGCCGCTAGAGGCGCTTGCGTGATTCTCACTGTGAAAATCACAGTGAGATACGCAAGCGTCCATAGGAAAGCATTGATAATGCTTTCCTATGCGACCGGCTGAATGCGCGTGCAGCTCTTGCCGCGCGTGCGCATTCAGCCGACGGGGAGGAGAGGAGGAGGATCGGAGGAGGGGAGCTCCCCGCCCAGCCCTGGAAAAAGGTAAGTTTAAACCCCTTTCCCCCTTCCAGAGCCGGGCGGGAGTGGGACCTTGAGGGTGGGGGCAATCTTGCACTTCCTCTTGAAGACCTTTATTAATGCAGTTAACGCTGCTCCAAGTAAAGGATTTAATTGTCAGACCGCAGTGATGGCCGCGCAAACTCTGTACGTCTGCAATGCTTTTCTGTGACTACTTTTCAGACGAGATGATCTCACAGTTGGAGGAGTGCTTGCAGAGAGAAGGAGGACCCTGAATCTAAACGTAGCAATGAACACGTCTAACCTAATATGTTTATTCTTTAATATTAGAGTGTTCCTTTAAGAAGCTTAAAAAATGCAAGGCAGAGGATAATGATTTCCCAGAGCAAGAGAGGTCACAAGTATGAATTAATAACAACCAGTGTCTCCAAATAAAGCCACGTTCTGTCTCTTATGCACAGGTCAGGTCTGGGCTGGGGTTATAGCAGGGACACCCTTCCATAGATGTCATTTTCTCAGTTACTGGTCCCTTCCAAAAACAAAGGACATGTTAAGAAAGCAAAAGTTAATTAACGAGACGTTCTAGCCTTCTGGGAGGAAATCCTTTCACCCTCACATGACTGCTTGAGACCTACAGAGTTGCCTTAAACACTGGCTTATTTTAGTCCGTATTTACAGATAATTCATGGAATAAATGGTGTTTCAGGGTTATTCTCTAAACTCCGAAGTGTAGCAAATTGAAATCAGAAAGGCAACATTTAAGCTAAACTAGGCAATCTGCGACTATAAATAAATACAAAAATAGTGCTGCGCTCCAAATAATACATATAGTATACTTAAACAAGGTTTTGTAGAAATCCACAGGATTTATTCTAAAATAAAAAATATAGTTTATAATATCTGTAGCGAAGAGCAGGTATTACAAGGCCTATCTCCACTTTGGATCCCAGTGAGGCACAGGAACAAGCAATTATAAATCCATAGGGCAAAGTATCCAGCAGGCAAAATAACACAGCAGTATCCCAACAGCACTCCCAATAACTGGACGACACACAGTATCAGGAGCAGAACTAAAGATTTATTCAGACAGTGGCCTTATAAAGCATACTCCCATGTAAGGGAGGGATTTTCATTCATTAGTACAGTAGCCAATCCTGTTCTAGTAACCTCCCACACATCTCCTTCCCTCAGCCTGCATCATAATCCCCCTATCCAGGACACCAATCCCCCCGTTTCTGGATGTACCCCTAAACCTAGGGGTACCACTTTAAATTATACATCCCCAGGTAGCCCTGATCTGGGTGAACAACATATCCAAAAATCACCCAGATCAGACCAGGGGTTCGGGAAATTTATGGAGGGAATAAAATGACCGACCGCGCTGGAAAAAGTAGCCGAATTGGGTTCCATGCAATGGGGCCCTGCGGTCGGTCCTGGAACAAGGGAATAGTTTACACGAAAGCCTCCAGTTACAGAGACTAGGGAGGGTTCGCCTGAATCCCCTCGTTCAGTTGTTTCTATCTACCGAACGAGGGTCCGTTCAGTAGTTTGGATCCGAACGGACCGGGCTTGTGGAGGTCTCAGCGGTGTTCGCCTAGTCGAGTGTCCGATTTGAGTTCCAGACACTCAACAGCAAAACACCGCTGTTCGGGAGTTTTAAAATGGTCGCCGCCACGTGTTGGTTTCCCGAATGGCGGCCACCCCCGAGAACAAAGCACTGCTACTTAGCTTGTCAATTACCCGTTCGCAACAATGTTGCAACGGGTAATTGAAGGCACACTTCACACCGGGGAGGTCTGACTGTTCGGTAGTTTCATTCCCTTAGTTGTTGGAATGATTCTACCGAACAATCAGACGAATACAATACATTTAACACATATAACTTTGCCATTTACACGAATGCAGTCAAAACTTATGTAATTCTCAGGACAGCCCAGTGCCATCAGCTACACTGCTCCCCCTTGCCCACAAGCCGGCATACACAGTCTGATCCAACACGGATCGGCTTGGGGATGTCCGGGGAGGCTAACGGATCATTTCTCTAGGTAGGTTTGTCTTGACAACCAGTCAGCGTTCCCATTCTGTTTGCCCGGGCGGTACTGAATGTTAAAGTCAAAGGGCTGCAGCGCCAAACTCCAGCGCAGCAGCCTGGCATTGTCCCCAGCCACCCGGTTTAGCCAGACCAACGGGTTGTGATCCGTGAGCAAGGAAAAGGGCTCTCCATACAAATAGGCTGCAATTTCTTTAGGGCCCACACCTCAGCCAGGCATTCTTTTTCGATGGCGGCGTAGCTCACTTCTCTTGGCAATAGTTTCCGACTGATGTAGGCTACGGGGTGTTCTCTGCCATCGGCCCCGACTTGGATTAATACTGCTCCCAATCCAAACATCGAAGCATCTGTGTGAACAAGAAAACGTTGGATCGGGAGCTGCCAAGACAGGGGCATTAACAAGTGCATCTTTCAACAGGTTGAATGCCTTCTCACACTCCGGGGTCCAGGTTACTTGGCGGGGTAAGTTCTTACGGGTAAGGTCATTAAGGGGTTTGGCCAGGGCACTATAATTGGGGACAAACTTGCGGTAGTATCCGACAGTCCCTAGAAAAGCAAGGACCTGGGTTTTTGTCCTAGGGGTGGGCCATTGGGCTACTGCCTCTACCTTAGCAGGTTCAGGTTTCTGCTTCCCACACCCCACTCTGTGTCCGAGGTAATGTACCTCTGCCATCCCTATACTGCATTTAGCTGGCTTCAGGGTTAATACGGCTTTTCGGATCCTATCTAACACCGCCCCTATATGGGCCAAATGTTCCTCCCAAGTGTTGCTAAAGATGGCTATGTCATCTAAATAAGCACAAGTGTAGTCCTGAAATCCATCCAGGAGTCGGTCAACCATCCTCTGGAAGGTAGCGGGTGCGTTTTTCATCCCAAACGGCATTACCTTAAATTGGTATAAACCGAATGGGGTAACAAAAGCGGATTTAGGAATGGCCTCAGGCACCAGGGGAATCTGCCAATACCCCTTACATAGATCAATGGTTGTGAGGTAGTGACCTCTAGCCATCCGGTCCAGTAATTCCTCTATCCGGGGCATAGGGTATGCATCGGATACCGTCTTTTCGTTTAACCTCCTGTAGTCCACGCAGAAGCGAGTTGTGCCATCTCGCTTGGGTACGAGGTCTACAGGGGAGGCCCAGGGGCTATCTGACGGTTCAATCAACCCTAGGTGGAGCATCTCCTCAATCTCTTTGTGCATGTTTTCCTTCACCGCTTCAGGGATGCGATAAGGGGTTTGGCGCATGGGAAGCTGTCCTGGGGTCTCTACCCGGTGAGTGGCCAAAGGAGTGTACCCAGGTATATTGGAGAATGTGTCCTGTTTCTCCCTTAATAACTGTTGTACCTCGGTACGCTCCTGTGGGCTCAGCCGATCCCCCAGAGTAACTTCCCCCAAATCCCCGGACAGTCTGCCGTCCCCCAGGAGATCTGGGAGAGGCAGGCTGTCGAACTCTTCATTGGAGGGGGCGCAAATTGCGGTTACCTCCTCTGAACGTTCCTGGTAGGGCTTCAGCATGTTCACGTGGATCATGCGTCGCCCCCCAGTCCCTGTACAGGCGCCAATGATATACGTGGTGTCGCATCTCTGCTCCATCACTTTATATGGGCCCTGCCAGGAGGCCTGCAGCTTGTCATGTTGGACTGGTTTCTGCCCAACCTGGAAGCTGCGGTCCCTGGCGCCCCTATCATACCATGAGCCGCCTGGAGGTTCTCTCGGACTGACTTGGTCAACGCTTCCAAACGCTCTCGAAACGCCAGTACATATGGTATGACAGGGGTACCGTCGGTACTCCGGTCTCCCTCCCAGTGTTCCCGGATCAGATCCAGGGGTCCCCTTACTCTCCGCCCAAACAGTAATTCAAATGGGGAAAATCATGTCGATTCCTGCGGCACCTCCCTGCAGGCAAACAGGAGATGAGGCAAAAACCGTTCCCAGTCCCTATGGGTGTCTGCAAAAGTGCGAAGCATTTGCTTCAAGGTCCCATTGAACCTTTCGCATAGCCCATTGGTCTGGGGGTGGTATGGGGTGCTAATGATCGATTTGATGTCACAAAATTTCCAGAGGCTCTGGGTGACTTCCGCAGTGAACTGGGTACCCTGATCTGAGATGATCTCTCTGGGTAACCCCATCCGAGTGAAAATTCGCATCAGGGCCTCAGCCACGGTTTCTGCGTGTATGTTAGTCAGGCCAATCGCCTCTGGATATCGGGTGGCATAATCCACTACAGTTAAGATATACCTTTTCCCAGAGGGGCTGGGTTTTTTCAGGGGTCCTATTATATCTACTGTTACTCTGCTGAACGGTTCCTCTATTATGAGTAACGGGTGCAATTTTGCCTTCCGCCGGTCCCCTCTCTTCCCTACCCTTTGGTACGTGTCACACGTGTTGCAGTACCTGCGGACTTCCTGACTAACTCCCGGCTAAAAGAAACTCTGGGTCAGTCGGTGCCGGGTGCGACTGACCCCTAAATGTCCGGATAGCGGAATATTGTGCGCTATCTGGAGTAACTCTGCGCGATACTGTTGGGGTACCACTAGCTGCCTCATCACAATAGGGTCTGACCCAGCTACCTGCTTGTCAAACTCCCTGTATAGCAACTGGTTATCCCATACAAATCTTTCGCCCTCCCCTCCCGGCTGGTCTGAGGTGACTTTGTCTCTATAGACCTGTAAGGTGGGGTCGGTGACTACTTCGGCAGCAAATTCAGTAGAGGGAGCCCAAGGGGTACATTCTAAGGTAGGGAAAGGATCTCTTACCTGGACCTCCGGGAGTGTGTTGTAGTCCTGGGTGCGGGTCTGTTGTCGTGTAACCACTGGGTGTGCCTCTCCGGTTGTTGGGGCCTGGGGTTCAAATGCAGACGTCAGTTTGCCCAGATCGTTCCCCAACAAAACTTCCGATGGCAGCTGGGGCATCAACCCCACCTCCACAATCCCAAACCCCGCTCCCCAATGTAAATGTACCCAGGCTGTGGGTAGCCGGTATACTGCTCCCCCGGCTACCCTGACTGCTACTGTTCTGCTGGTCTTGGCCTGGTCAGGTACTAGGTGACTCTTAACCAGTGTGATGGTGGCTCCTGAATCGCGGAGTCCCTGGTCTGCTTTCCCCTCCAAGTACACCGTCTGTCTATGATGCTGGCGGTTGTCAGCATTAGCTTGCACAGGATCCGCTTCATGCAATACTTCCCATTGTTCCACTGTGTTTATGGGAATTGCTGTGCCATAGGGATTTGTTGCCTCTACTTGGTAGTAGTGGGCTGCCTGTCAAGGTGGTGGAGGTAGTCCGGGCCTGATCCAGGTGGAGCGATCTTTTAGCTGCGGGCATTCTCTCTTATAATGTCCCCAGCGTTGGCAATGATGGCACTGTACAGAGCTAGTTGGTAGAGGTTTCTGTTGTACACTAGCGGGTGGGTAAGGAGGTAGTTGTCGTGGTGGCAGTGTGGTGTTGGGGTATGGGCTGTTCCCCCCTACGGGTCGGATAACTGTCTTGATGGGGGCTGGTTTTTGTTGTCTGCGGGAATCCAGGTACTCATCCTCCTTTTTAGCTGCTTCTGTGAGGGACTTCGGATTGCGGTCTCTCACCCATTCCTGTATATCATTCTGGATGCCCTCATAGAATTGCTCCGATAGCAACATTTGTAACAAGTCCTCCATGGACCGAGCTTTATTGGACTGTACCCATCCAAGGGCGGCCCGATGTAGCTTGCAAGCCCATTCCACATGAGAGTCCTTGTCATTTCTTTTTAACTCTCTAAATCGCCGCCGATATGCCTCTGACGTGATTGCATACCGGGCCAGGATCACCTCTTTTACCCTGTGGTAATTCCGAATTTCTTCATCTGGTACAGTTCTATATGCTTCAGCAGCCTTTCCAGTGAGCTTCCCTGCCAAAATAGTTACCCACTCCTCTGGACTAACATTATGCAGTGCACACAGTCTCTCAAAATCTTGGAGAAAAGCATCTATGTCCTCCTCTGCTTCTACATATGTTTTAAAAGCTTGGTAAGGTATTTTTGCCTTACCCTGTGATGGTAGCGGTGGTAGCATTCCTCTCCAGATTTTGTAGTGGTCTTTGGCGTAGTATAAACTCCTGCACCTCTGTCATTGTCCTGGATATAATATCTGCCGTTGGATTCTCTCCATAAAAGGACAGCCTAAACTGCAGCTGTCTCTGGAACTCCTCTTGTTCAGATCCATCTGCTGAACTCCGCTGCTCAGGGATCGCCCTGTCCTCATTTTGATATTCTGCCATCACCTCTGCAATGAGGGTTGCTTTTCTTTTGTTGCTTGCTGCAATACCTTTTGCTTCTAGGAGATCTTTTAGCGTGGATCTTTTAAGCTTTGCATAATCACTCTCCATCCGTATTCCATTAGTCCTTGTTCCCTTGTGAGTCTGGATCCCAGCGCTGCCAACCAATGTAGCGGAGAGCTGGTATTACACAGCCTATCTCCACTTTGGATCCCAGGGAGGCTCAGGAACAAGCAATTATAAATCCATAGGGCAAAGTATCCAGCAGGCAAAATAACACAGCAGTATCCCAACAGCACTCCCAATAACTGGACGACACACAGTATCAGGAGCAGAACTAAAGATTTATTCAGACAGTGGCCTTATAAAGCATACTCCCATGCAAGGGAGGGATTTTCATTCATTAGTACAGTAGCCAATCCTGTTCTAGTAACCTCCCACACATCTCCTTCCCTCAGCCTGCATCATAATCCCCCTATCCAGGACACCAATCCCCCCGTTTCTGGATGTACCCCTAAACCTAGGGGTACCACTTTAAATTATACATCCCAGGTAGCCCTGATCTGGGTGAACAACATATCCAAAAATCACCCACCGGCTGTTCGGTAGTGTTCATCTAGTCGAGTGTCTGATTTGAGTTCCAGACACTCGACAGCAAAACACCGCTGTTCGGGAGTTTTAAAATGGCCGCCGCCACGTGTTCGTTTCCCGAATGGCGGCCACCCCCGAGAACAAAGGACTGCTACTCAGCTTGTCAATTACCCGTTCACAACAATGTTGCAACGGGTAATTGAAGGCACACTTCACACCGGGGAGGTCTGACTGTTTGGTAGTTTCATTCCCTTAGTTGTTGGAATGATTCTACCGAACAATCAGACGAATACAATACATTTAACACATATAACTTTGCCATTTACACGAATGCAGTCAAAACGTATGTAATTCTCAGGACAGCCCAGTGCCACCCGCTACAATATCCAAATATTATGAACGCTATGTTCATTAGTAGACAGCTATATGTCCATTAGTAGACAACAACACCTCCCCCTATCCCCATGGAAAAAACTCACATATCCCAGAGCCTATAGAACCAGCTCTGAGTTTGCAGGTTTTTTAAGGAGACACCCAAAATTAACAGATCAGCTTTAACCCACACCGAAAACCGCCAAGGTTTAAATCCAGGCTCAGATTAAAACAAAATCCAAACAGTTTTCCCCCTGGCAGTGTTATGTACTAAACACATATTGTTAAGAACCCAATGGTGAGTTATATAAAACCTAAGATTATGCTAGCTTCAGTGTATTTATAATCTTAATTTTAGTAATGACAACAGGCGAGTATTATGCATAAACTCTTTAGTAATTTCACAGCAGCAAAGATAAAACATAAACAAGAACCAATCAAATTGCAGTAGGTTGTATAATATCCACAGTGACTTAAGCTCCTCCTCTTTCAGAAAGCGACATCACAGACGGATAAAGTTCATAACAGTAATAGGAACATCAGGTATCAACCACCAAAAGCACGATAATCCAAATAAACCAGGACTGAAGACGAACCAGAGTTCCGAAACGAATTAAAGTGAAAAGAGAACGTGAAATAGGTTAGACACTAGTCTGAAGATGAGAAAAAACAAAGAAGCAACCCATAAATTGATTGAAGATATTAAAATACATGTACGAATCTAACTAGGTATAAATGGAAACATTCCAGGGCTTGAGTCCTGCAGGATTGCGTGGATACATTGTTCCTGCACTTTTTCCGCAGCAGGAACGCCGTTCCTGTTAGCAGTCCTGCAGGAATTCTTTGCCCGCGAGGCATACAAGGCATTTGTCTTGTAAGCCTCAGGGCAGGAGGCCGGTTGAAGACTTGCGCGCTGCAGAGTGATGCCAGGAGCCTGAATGTGATGCCATATCTCTGCATCACTCTGCGGCGCGTGAGGGAGCTGAGCAGGGAGAGCTCATAAATCAGCGCTCCTTCGACACCCGGCTGGAACTCAGCTGACCACCCGGCCGCCTTCCTGCCCAAACAGCCTGGCCAGTAGCCCCACTGGACCCCAGGTAAAAAATCCACTCAGCTCTCCCAAAGGTAGGGAGGCTGGGTGGATTTAAATTAAAATAAAAAGGTGAGTGTTGGGGGGGAAATGTGTGAATGTGTGTGTGTGTGTGTGTCTGTCTGTCAGTGTGTGTCTGTATGTATATATCTGTCAGTATGTGTCTATGAGTGTGTGTGTGTGTGACTGCCTGTCAGTGAGTCCCCCTATCCACTCACAGTCTCCTTCCTACCCACACCTTGTCACAGCCATCCCCACCCTGTCTCCCCACACACTGTCACTGCCGCCCCCTCACACACCTTGTCACATCCCCCTCACACACCCTTACACCTCTCCACACACATTGAGTACATGCTTTCCTATGGGCACCTGTGTTAGGTTTCCCCAATTGTTGATAGCGGAGGAGGCAGAGATCGATCCAGCGATGAGGGACCTTTATTGCCAGGGGTAGCTGCTGGGGCAGAGGGACATTATGGTGTTAGAAATACAGTTTTGTATTCCTAACACTATAGTGTTCTTTTAATGTAAATAAACCCTATTAGTTTTGTTAGAACTGTAGCATGCATACCATGCTCATAACTTGATGCAAAGTAAATAAACATAAAGTAAAACATTATTTTAGATTGCATTTATTATAATAAAGTATTAAAAGTGTCTCCACAGTTATAGGAAATCTCTGTGTGATTCCTTCATTTACATTTACCAGTTCCTAGTGTCAGCATAGAGCGTTGAAAATTAAGACTCTTCCTTATGAACATGGTCATCTCATCTGCATAGAAGCTGATTGTGTAAACAGCTGCCCAACGCCAGTCTCAGCACTGCGTTAGACAAGCACTTGCCATTTTCATCATTTTGTGTTTTAACTAGACACAATACCTAGCAGACAAGCCCAAGGACGCTCATTAGATTGGGTTGTCACAGAAGAAGTCAGTCTTTGTCCTCCATAATCCCAAGCTTCTCTGCCTCAATGCCAAATACATTCCTGAAATTTCACTATTGTCACTTATAACTGGGCCAAACTTTGTAAGCTGCTTACTAAAATCAAATGGTTTACTAGCCTTGTTGCATATTAACAGCTCATTAAAAATAATACAATATTTATTTTAAAACAAATGTGTGGCTAATTTCATAATTAAGATGGGAAACTAATTGTTCAGAAATTTGCCCGTTGAATGAATTAATTGGGGGGAAGGCGGGACTCCATTAGCCCTCCTTTAACAAATAGGGGTCCCCTGTTTCATTGTATGTCTAATTAACACTATGTTGTCCAGAAATTTAACAGAAAAAATAGTTCCAGCGGCAGTTTGCCTCTTATCAAGGAATCTGGGGCAAATTCCATCCATTTTGAAAAGGATGCAATTTGGTGTTAATTCAAATCAATTCAAAAATGGCCAGATGATGGTTATATAGTAAATAGTGATGTCGCGAACCCGAAATTTTCGGTTCGCGAACGGCGAACGCGAACTTCCGCAAATGTTCGCGAACCGGCGAACCGCCCGAAACGCCATTGACTTCAATGGGGAGGCGAATTTTAAAACACACAGGGACTCTTTCTGGCCACAATAGGGATGGAAAAGTTGTTTCAAGGGGACTAACACCTGGACTGTGGCATGCCGGAGGGGATCCATGGCAAAACTCCCATGGAAAATTACACAGTTGATACAGAGTCTGGTTTTAATCCATAAAGGGCAGAAATCACCTAACATTCCTAAATCACAATAAATATGGATTGACACCTGACATATGACATATTGACACCTTGACATATGGATTGACACCTGTCCTCAGAGCCCCTGATGCACACCGACACAGAGCAGAATAGGGACTGGTCCCCCTACATAGGGTCACTTGGCAGATATGGATTGACACCTATCCTAAGGATCCCTGATATACACTGACAGAGCAGAATAGGGACTGTTCCCCCTACATAGGGTCACTTGGCAGATATGGATTGACACCCTTGTTACAAACTGCTATTTGTAACGGCCCTTTAAATGGCAAATTGCCCTGCTTCCCTGGGTTGTGGAGAAGCCTATTTGCCAGCCTCCTCCCGCATGACCATGGCCCCTGGGAGATTGTGAAAATGTATGCACTTTTATTTGGTGTGTATGGCCCTTTAAGACTGTCGGTGGGCATATTGGGGCTTATGGACTCTTTATGTGACTGGTGCTGGCCCTTTAAACACCTTTTTTGGGACATCAGGAAGATTGGGACACCGCCCCTTTAAGGCCGTGTCCCCAGACTTGTTGGGGACACGGCCCCTTTAAGACGGTGTCCCCTGTGTCCCCAGACCTGGTGCAAGCCCTTTGTGCCTGCCTTGCTATTTCCCACTTGGTTCAGTAAATGGGAAATTATTTCAGCTGCAGAGACTAAGTCCCATTCGGTGATGGGACTTAGTCTTTTTTTCAGCCGTTTTTTTCAGCCTTATTTCAG